GAACTGGCAAATAGGCTGGCCCCACCCCTGCTTCCTCCCAGACTCCCAGCCGATCTTCTTTTGTTGTCCTGAACAGGAGAACGGAGATGGAAAGCAGGTTAGAGGGGTGGGGAGGGAATGGGGACTTTGCAGTAATCTCTTCCTCTGTCAGGCCCACCAAGCCACACCCACCAAGCCCTGCCATGCCCACAAAGCCACGCCCACAGAACTGGTAGTATTAAAAAAATTGAATCCCACCTCTGGTACAAGTGTTACAATAAAATTGTGATCCACATGGCATGAGTTTTTACTCTGGTCTATCTAGTAGGGTTGACAATTATGTCCTCTGTCACTCAGGAGTTCATGATGCCAATTAAGCAGAATTAGTTCGATGGTTCGAATCCCTAGCACCACATAACAGAGTGAGCTCCTGTTACTTGCCGCAGCTTCTGTTCGAAAGCATGTAAAAATGCAATTAGAAAAATAGGAACCACCTTTGGTGGGAAGGTAATAGCGTTCTGTGATCCTTTGGCATTTAGTCATGCCGGCCACATGACCATGGAGATGTCTTTGGACAGCGCTGGCTCTTTGGCTTTGGAACAGAGATAAGCACCGCCCCCTAGAGTCGGGAATGCCTAGCACATATGTGTGAGGGGAACCTTTACTTTTATGCTCTTACATGTTGTATACAGTAACATACAGACACAATTCCTTTTTTTTCCAAACTTCTCCCTAGGTACAGTTTAAAAAGTTGTCCTTTCTTTGGGCTAAACAAGATAAGAAGAGCGTGGAAATCATGCTCTCTTGACATCTCTGTCAGTCATCAAAGACATTTATTTTAATCGCTCTAATGCTGGAAGGCTGAACAATTCTTAGATGGATTCATGTAGTTAACAGGGTGTGTTCTTGTCAATTTGTTCATTTCCACCCTATAGTTAAAAAGAAAAGCAAGCGGTTGCCGAGATCCCATGGATATAATGAAAGAGCAAACTCCGTGCATCTGTCTGCCTTATTTGGACAACTCTTCTGATCATTTCCACTGAAAAAGTCAGCTTTGTTGTCTCTTCTTTGTCTTCCATTCCCAGAAGTCAAGTATCTTCAACAGGCATGAGAAGTATATCAAAGAGAAGAGGAGCATATTAACTCCGGGATCAAAGTAAGAGTTTGGGTGGTTGCATTCTGTAAACATTATAATCATCAATTTCTTATCTCCTGAATTAACATGAAGAGGGATATCTCCTGAACATAATTCTTATTATTATCATTATAAATATTGTTGACTTCATAGCATTCAGATGGCCACTAACAGCACTGGTCAAAAGGGCCCAGCAGAGATTATACTACCTGAGACTTCCCAGGAAACAACAACTGAATGAAAAACTGCTGGAGACTTTCTACCGCTGCACCATAGAGAGTATTCTAACTTACTGCACCTGTGTGTGGTTTGCCAATTGCACAGTGGCAGATAGGACAGTGCTGCAGAGGGTCAACATCATTGCCCAGAGGATCATTGGTTGCGCTCTCCCCTCTTTGGAAAAGCTTTATAACTCCCGCTGCCAGAGCCGAGGTGGCGCAGTGGTTAAATGCAGCACTGCAGGCTACTTCAGCTGACTGCAGTTCTGCAGTTCGGCTGTTCAAATCTCACCGGCNCTGCATGCATGGCAGAGACCCAGAAATCAGCTCGCTGGTCGGAGGCGCGCGTGCATGCGCGGCATAAGTTCGCCATCACGGGTCTAGTGTCTCCTTCACTCCTCTCTGCATGATCCCTACCAAGCCTACATAATGTTTCCAGTTAAATTTTTGCAAAATGGACTTCATTGGGTATTAGAAAGAGCCAGTTGCAGACGCTAATAAAGTAGTGGAAGGGAAGTCCAGGAAATACGGTATGGCTATAGAATTTCAGCTACAAAATTAATTCTTGATGAATGAATTAATTATAATTACATAACAACAATGTAAGTTTAAGATTTGCAAGCCTGCTGGTATCTCCTTTTTGTCTTGTTTTGTTTGGAATACGGATGAATTTATAGACTTAGAGCTGCTATGATAAATATATAGATTGACTTTGGCTAATTAGTGGAAAGTATCTTTCCTACCAAAACCGGGGGCAGAGCAGAAAGAGAGAGAAAATCAATTTTAAATGGTGGGTCTAGCAGCAAAGGAACATTGCTACTCTAGTAGCAACTTTTATCATATATCAGTCTGTGAGATGTCCACCCATCAATATTTCATTAAATTTCATGTGCGTATTACCTCTAGATATAGAATATTAAAATAATGATTTCTTTTTTCTCCTAGTCAGTGTTATTGAAAATTGTAAGTGAACAAAAGTGGTGAAGAAATAAGAAGCAATCTTGATTTGATTTTGTGCTGGGTTTTAATCAATCTATACATATACTTCTACAAGCCGATTTCTTTTTTTTAAGGCTCTTTATGTGTCACACCGCAAAGATCAGTTTTGCAGGACTGATATCAGTGTGCAGATATATTTTTGAATAAGGGTGGGGGGGTGATGCACGATGAGTTGAGTTGCAGAAACTAAAGTCAAGCTATCAGTCAATCCATATAGCAATCAGCGAATCAATTGGTCTGTAAGCGTTAGCAAAAATAAACCCTGAACTGCAAACAGTAGAGGGCTAATTAGGAGAGAAGAATTCATTGGTGCTGCTCTGGAAAATAGGAGGGGGGGGAATGGAGGAGATAATTGGTTTTGATAGAGGAGGAAATTTGTAGCTCAGGGAGGCAGAGCCAAAGGTCAGATANCCGCTGAACTGCAGATAACAGTCAGCTGAAGTGGCCTGCAGTACTGCACCCTAACCACTGCGCCACCTCGGCTCTCTGCATGTTATATGATGTGGCCTTTTTATGACCAACAATACCAAGAATTTTAGCTTATCGTAACTGAAATTTAGAGAGTTAACATGTGTAGAAGGGCACCAATTAGGAGAAGTCTACTAACTAATTTTCTTCCAGTTTTTCCCATTAGTAAAAGAGTTGAAATAAACACACTGGACTTTACCATATCAGCTTTTTCATTGGCAATTTTAAGTTCTTTCTCTTTGGCTTCCAGCTCTTTACTCAAAGCTGCTACAGATTCAGAAGCCTCTTTCAGTTTCTCCAGCCCAGTATTCATTCTGAAATGAATAAAACCATCAATAAACGTGTGCGCGACTAAAACAAATATTTGATTATTCCCTTTCCCAAAAATAAGAGGTGGTTAATCTGTGATCCTAGAACTATTTGTGGCCTTTGGCTTAATTTTATAAAGCGTAATTTCACAATAGCAATAGTACTTAGACTTATATACCGCTTCATAGTGCTTTCCAGCCCTGTCTAAGCAGAGTCAGCATATTTACAGAGTCAGCACATTGCCCCCAACAATCTGGGTCCTCCTTTTACTGACCTCAGAAGGATAGAAGTCAACCTCGAGCTGCTCAGGATCAAACTCCTGGCTGTAATACAAATTTAATATAAATGCCTGCAATACTGCATTCCAATCACTGTGCCACCAAGGCTCTTCGCAAACCTTCTAAAGCAACCAGTTCAGATCTCTTAAACATATATCACTCCCTTAGAGACTAGTTATTGGGTTAAGCTATTTGGCAAGACAATAACTTACTATTAGAGTATCAAAGCACCTCACCTGTGGGCTAAGGTCTGTACCTCAGCATGTTTTTCTTTGTATATAGCTTTATATCCCTGAATAAAGGACAAATAAGACTTGGGAGTCACGTGGGTGGACCGACGATATCTTTGAAAATATTCGACACATTTTTCAGCAACTCCATCTTGGAAGGAGCCCATACACTGCACCATCTGTTTTTTGATATCTTCAGTGCAGTCAATTTCGTACGATGACAAGAAATGCTCCGATACTAAAAATGAGATTTAATGCCTTATCAGTATAAACACCACTTCATTCTCTGGCAGAAGAAATTTAGGATGACCTCTGACCTATTTCTTATTATTCTTCCCCACTCCTCCATCTCATTCATTATCATGGACTTCTCTTCTTCCTTGAAAGAAGCAAAATCAACTTTCTGAGCTCCTCTGATGGGCACACTTGACAGATAAGTACGAACTAGGTGATATTCGGTTCACCGACAAATGCGCGCCTGACAAAAGCGTGCCGATGAAACCGTGCCGAGAAAACCGCGAGGTCGAAATCGCGCTGACGAATGAGCGCAGAAGCACGCCGACAACAGCGCGCCGACAAAAGCACTCCTTCAACAAAGAACTAACAACAACCTAATAACCCTAACCCTAAACCTAACCCTAAACCTAACCCTGAACCTAACCCTAAACCTAACCCTGAACCTAACCCTA